TAGGTCTCCAATGAGATTTTACATGATCAAATAGAAATGTCTTCAAAAAAATCCTTACATAATGATCTACAAAAAATATTTTGCTGTGAAGTTGATTTTAAATTCCAAATGCAGATGAAAAAAAAAAAGTTTGGTTTTCTTGTACCCCAGATCTTGGGGACATGTATCTGTGTGTGTGTGGCATGCATGAGACTGATGGTCCTTGGGAATATTTGGTTTATCTATTCCATTACTAGTTTTGATCCTGAAAGTATAGTTCACTGCCTGCCAGTTAATGACATATCATTAATATATTTATGAATTGTTTCATCTTGATTTGGTTTAAACTGAACAGAGCAGTTTTTCAGCAGAGATACAACCAGAACCAACTTCTGACAAGAACAGTGGTTTTTAAAATGCCAAACCCTGGTATTTTATCACCATCTGCTGGTGATAAAGTGTCATTCACTTAAAAAATGTAAATTCAGTCTCAGCATGTACAAAATAATTCATCCCATAAAGATTCAGAGACCTTAAATGCAGCAGAGACTAATAAGACATTCACGGAACTCAAGTCTCAATAAGTCATCTGAAGAACAAACTACACGATCTCCTATACTCTACAAATATTCTGTCATAGCTAAAGCTCTCACAGAACCAGTCAAATGCTGTCAGATAACACTAACAGAGCCTTCAAGCTTGCTGGCAAGTGAAATAAAATTCACAGTACAGACAACAATTTCCTCTCTACCACTGGCAAAGAAGAAGGTCACGCAAGGTCAATATGACGGGCACTTTTTTGCAACCAAACCAGTCATCATCTCTTTCACTTGCCCAGGGGGTTTTAAAACCACTTCCCAAGTCTCAAATCAGCACTACAGAAAAGTAAACTATATTATTCCTCCTTCCTGCCCTCTGCTGCAACCTATTGCCCTTATGCCTTCCCCCATCTTCACTACTCCTCCTTTCCTCCCTTGTACCTCCTATCATATCTAAACACCAGCACTGTGAGCTGGAGAAGAGACTGGATTCCTCCCAGCTAAATTCCCGTGTACCTGAGCTCCTCAGTTAAATGGCTGAACTGTCAAGATGTCCTGTCTAATTATTGGCAACAAAGATGCTCTTCTTTGTTTGTTGTCTTCTTTGTTGAACTTCTTAAGTTTCTGCCTTAGAGGATCCTCTGTCTAGAAAGAACAGAAGGATTTTAATTTAGGTACTTCCCTCAGGTTGTTAGGTCAGGTAAGAAGTTGTCAATACTTAGTGCTCAATAGTCTCTTCTTGCCTTGGTGCTCAACCTAGAGTCAGCTACAGACAAACTTCTGCAGCCCTAGTGAGACTTGTTCATAAATTTCTCCTGAGCACATACAAACTGGGATTCTCCAAATATTTCATATCTAGATACAGGTGAGCACCTTTTCTGTCTCAAAATTACCTGCTAGCAAATTGCAAGTCTCTTATCTTACAACATGAACTAGGGCTTCTGAAAGAACAGGTCATCCAAGTTTTAATTTTTTACCTTGAGCAAAACAATGCATTTTTTGACCCATGTCTCAGAAACAACAGAAACATTCTGGCTGAAACTTTTATATAAAAAAATATAAACCAGTGGAAGCACTTACTGAAAAGAATTTTAGTTCTAATGGTTAAAGTTTGGTAAAGTTGAGAAGCAGGTAAGCAAAGTTCATAATAGTGGAAAATTATAATGCAAATTAAAATCTTTTAATATAAAACAATGCCACCAATTGCACCTGTGTTCACTGTTTCCAGATTTTGATTGCTTTATGCAGTTACTTGAACATACTCTAAAGAGTCTGCAGTTAAGTTTGGCACTTTGGCTCTTTTCGACAGTCTACAAGTAAATATTCAACCTCTGTAGATTTATCTGGTAGCTTTTTCCTAATCACTATTTCTGTAAACAAAATGTACACTGACTTCAAAAGGGAAGATTAACACTTAAGGGTCATCAGCACTGAGGAAAGCAGCTATACAACAAATACAGGCCACTTGCTCAGCACAAAGATAATTAAAATCTCTTTCTGGAGTGACCTTGGAGTCACTGACCCTGAACCACTTGACATCACATTCCTGCATGCTCCATTTAGCCTTATTCCTCCTCTGTCCCATGAGGCAGCTCCTGCTTCACCATTACATAACCCTGTCCCTCTTATCACATATTTTCACTATTCCAAATGCCCTCAGCCCTATTCCTGGTACCAAACAGCAGCCTCATCTATGCTCTCAAGAAGTTGAGCTCTAAGATTCCTCAGCTACACAGAGAAAACAATTCTTGAAACATCCCAGGCTTGATAAGTCAGGGAAAAGGTCGAGAGTTCATTCTTCTATATCATCTGATGTCACATGGCAAAAAACAAGAGCTTTACCAGCTTCCTGAAATGGGAGAGATGTGCACCTGTGGGCAGATCTGTCCAGTGCCTTCCTGACTCCTGGCAGCTGGAACTGGCTGCAGGGCTGACTGCTCTCCCGCAGTGAATCTGGGGGGAATGGACCAAGAAATGACAAGAATGATCAAAAAATATGGAACAGCTTCTGCACAATGGATGACCACGTGGGCTAAAACTCATCAGGCTGGAAAACATGCAAATAACATAAATTCATGAAATCCTAAATGGCCTGGGGACTAGACAGGCAGCAGAAAAAATAAACTGGCAAACAAAGCAAAAAAGGTGTCCAGAGAAAGAGGAAAGGAGAACTATGAAACACCCCCCTACCCTACCACATGAATATTTTACAAGCTATTGCTGCTTTTGCAACTGTGACTAATGTAAAAAAAAGTTCAAGAAAGTTATTCTTTATTCAGGAAAAAACTCAGTTTTCACGTTTCTTGCTCATCAAGCATCCCCACCTCACTGCACCCATGTTCAGACACGTGTAGATACTTCTGGTCTGTGTGCTCAGGTGGGATCCCAGCACATATTCTGGCACACCACCCACCACTGCATGGGTGAAGTTTTGTGTCAGTCTGGACACAACTCGCCTGAGGTTTCTTCTTTCCTGCCTTTGTCACACCCAGGAACTGAAACTTTTTCTCAGAGGATCTCTACAAATAACTGTTTTCTGTGTTGTGCCACTATCTGTTACTATTGAACAGGAAACACCTTCCCTTACTGCACAGAGGGAAGCCTGCTCCATATGACCTTTTTTTTACCTATGGCTTTAAGGCATAGATCTTAGTAGGGGTGCAAGTGAACATCTGTGTCACAAATTCTAGAGCAACTTCATAAACAGGCTGAGATTAGCTTTTGGCTTTGGGAGCAGCAATGGCTCTGCTGCTGTCATTGCACAGAAAGCTCCACAAGTTTAGATAAATAGTAAATAATTAGGTTTAAATTAAAAAAAAAAAAAAAAAAAAAGCCTAAGCAAGACTGCATGAGAGCCCTGCTGAGATCAGGCTGCCCTGAGCCTTTTAGACATGGTGTAATCTCAGAGGTTTGCAGCAAGATGGCAGTCTGAGATGAGCTCTTGCCTAATTAGCAGATTTCTTGTTGTGTCTCAGTGGTTGCACTGCAGAGATTGGCCACCATCCACTAATTTGCAATACCCAGGCTTTAAAACACCTTCTTTGTTCCCAGTTCATCAGGGCCAGCTGGAAAAGCACCTGCCAAGCAGAGAACTCACTTGCAAAGGTTCAAATCCAAAATGAGGCCTGGGACTGAGATGTTCTGCACTATTGCCTCAATACCTATTACACCTGGGCTCCTTACTAAATGCAAGAGGTGAATCAGGCAGAAATACATATTCCATCCTGCCTTTACAAATAACTGCAGACTTGCATCAGCATTTTTAATAGGTCTTGCTCTCATAATTTCCTCACATTTTTACACTGCAAGGGACAGGTTGGTTACTCCATCTGGTAGCAGGCATTGGCGTCTTCATTTTGTTTCAGTTTTTAGCATTTGGAACACCAGCACAGTTCTTTGCTAAAACCATATTACCATAAAGTGGGCAACAAAAGCAGCCCTGGGAGCTTCCCCAGTGACAAACCTCCGCCACAAGCCACAGGTGCAGTGCCCAGGGCTGGGATGGCTGAGGACAGCAGAAGCTGTCCACCAAAAGTGATCCTGGCTGCAGGAAAGCTCCTGACAGTTCCTACAGACATGGGTCAATCACAGGCTCCAGAGTCGGTGGCAGCACACTGGCATGGTAAAAGGGGAGAGGTTTCATAAAAATTTGTGATTTGGGTATGATTAAGACTGAAGCATTAATTAAAATACCTGTGTACCTCTATTGTTTCACCAATAGACACACGAGAACAAGATTTAAAAGAATGGCTTCTATAGAAAGCGCAGAACACTGCTCCCAGTCAAAGGAAGGAATGATTTGTTTCCATTTGCTCTGACACCCAGGAAACCACAAGCAATGAAGCACAGCAGCTTCCCTCGGCCAAAAGAACACGGCCGCAGCTCATATTGCACTAACTTGCAAGATAACCGCACTGTAAGCAGAGATTGAAAAATAATCTTTGTGTCTTGAGCCGAGGGAAACTTTTATCATAATTTATGGAGATTTCCCAGATGAACTGCTTCTTCTCTTCTCCCTGTTCATTTTCTTCCTCTGTTTTCTGATTTCAACCCATGTCTAGACGCCATTATCATGGCTCTATTGTAACTCAGCCTAGCTAAAACACGAGGGCGACAGACTCTGCGCTACCTTTGCTGAGAACACTGCTGCCCACAGCACCTGAGGCAGCGCCAGGGCTGGCCCAGGGCTGTGCCGGACGGCCTCGCCTCTTCCCGCCCCTCAAGCACATCAGCGCGGTGATGCGAAAGAACTACATCTCCCGTCATGCTCCACTCCGACCCGCCCACACCATCGGTGCACGGCCGCGCGTTGCGCGGCGGGAGTTGTAGTCCGTGATGGCGGCGCTGCGGAAGTGACTCGGCGGCGCCGGGGTGAGCGGGGGCGTGTTGACTTTCCGGGGACGGCGCTCATGGAGGCTCGGGAGTAGCGAGGCGTCTGAGG